TCCATATGGGCTTGTTCTCTGTGAATCTTATTTTGCTTGTAAAAAGGTTTCTGAAGTCCTGATGTAGTTTACTGTAGTGCAAAGATATCACACAGGGACATTCAGGCCACCAGGAAAAATCACACTATGCAGAATACACAGAATGCACCTGAAAAAATTCTTGAAGTGTTTTGAGTAAGGTTATATGCACGTCAAAAGGCCTAAATTATGTTCTAGTAAAACAAAATATTATGAAATGTGTGTATACTCTCACACACAGACACACAGACACACAATTTTCATTTGGGTGCACCTGGACTGTAAAATTCCTCATTTACCTTTAACACTATGCAGTTTAGTTTAGACTATTTTAGATTTATTCTTTCAGTATTTTAGAGAGCCTATGATTTGGAATGTGCATCTGTAAAGTGACATTTTTGTTTATTTTGTCACTAAATATATACCCCAAAATAGGGTTATAGAAAGACTTTAGAAGTAGACTCTGGTTTCATTGAGTTTGCACACTTGTCCAAATGGTTCCACTCCTACAACTCAAATAACACCAAAGTAGAATCAGCCTTTACTTCAGTTACTTTTACTTTAACCTGGTGCTTACTAATTATCTCTTAAGGCACTCAATTTGAGCAAAATCTTTGAGTAAATAAGATAAAGTATCATACAAAGCTGAGACCCCTCCCTCATAGTCTCCCAAATACTTGACCTCCTGCCCCTATGTATTCTGAGAACTACATTGTACATTTGACAGGGGTTCCCTGGCTTGCTGACTTGAGGGTGGGTATTTATTGTTGCAGTTATCTTTATGATTATTCATGTAGAAAATGTTTCTGGGTAATCAGGACTGGGAATGATACATTAGAGGTCAGTTGTAAAGTATGGTGCATTTGGCTTGCAAATTACCATACCTGAATGAAGATACAATGGGTACATAGTTATGCAGGAAGTCATTTCTAGCATTTCAAAGGTGTGTGGGGCCATCTGTTCTCTGCAAAGTTCTGTGACCCGGCAAAAGCAACCCAAGCACATTCCAGCATGTCTCTACCCTATACTCACAAGGGTCCTATCATTTTGCAGACTTTAACGGCCTAATCACAATCCAAAATGCACTTTGCCAAGGGGGGAAGACTATAAAACTCCAAATTCTTTCAAATATGTCTGGTAGCATTAAGAATGTTTATTACTTTATGGGAACTTTAAGTTGATATTTACCAAAGCACAATATACTTGACAAATAGATCACTAGATCAACTGCTAAATGTAAGTGCGTCTGTTTTATGGAATTTCTTCTCCCAAATAGTTCCTATCAGTCAATGTTGTTGAGTCATGGCAAGAAAATATAACTGTTCTTTGAGCTTGTTTTAGAATTAAGAATTTAGAATAGAAGAGAGATCCTGAGACAATCTAGTTGCATTGTTTCTTCTTATTTTAAATTGGAAAAGTCAGGCCCAATATGGTCCTGGGGCCTGTTCAAAATCCCAGAGCTCCCAAGCGTGGAGGTACACACCTGTAATCCCAGCACTAGGGAGGCTGAGGCAGGAGGATCATTGCAAGTTTGAGACCAGCCTAGGCTACATAAGTGAGTTCAAGGCCAGCCTGGACTGCATAGCGAGACCCTGTCTCAAAAAAAAAAAAAAAACATTCCAGAGCTATGAGCAGGGGAGTCAGAGCCACCAGCCAGAACTTCTGATCCCTGTGGCAATAGCTTTTTACTGTCTCACCAAGCAGGATCCTCTTGGAATGTATCTGAGTTTCAAGGATTCCCTCTACATCCAAATTGTACATTTATATATAAGTCTCAACCAACCAAATGTAAGATGTCCATGCAGTTTGTATAATCATGAACTAAATACATATTAGGAAAGATATAAAAATGGTGATAGAGAAAATCCATTTGGTGTAACATAAAGGAAACATTTATGAGAGAACCTGTTGAAGGAGTTGCCTTGCCTCCTCAAATGTCCAATTATAGGAATATACTGTACCTCCAATGGGCCACACAAACTATCTGCAAATTTCTAGAATAGTGCTTCTTAGAATCTACTAGTCAATCCCAAGAGTTAATTGCACTTTATTAGTTATAAGTAGTATGAAATAAAAAGTCCAAAAAACTTGAAAGGTCCAATGGGACATTGCACTGTTACCTGGACATGTTCAATTGCTAAAAAATCAATGTATACTTCTAGTTTCAAAGGACTAGCTCAGCTTTATCATGCTGCTACATGCTCAGCCTGCAGAGAACTACACATATGAGTCACTTTCTCATGTTAATACCCTTGGTGACATTTTTCAGTAAATGGTTACATGTACTTGAGGCTCTCTCTAAGCACTGTCTTATGAGCCATGTGGATCTGCTAGGTGTTCACTCATGCTTCTAGCCCGACAACCAGGATATACAGAGCCATTCCGGCTATAGGAATGCCTACAAGTACAAAAGTGCCTTTATCACTGCATTTTATATTATGGAAAAACATACACTCTTGACCCCTAAATGTTTAATTATTGGCACCTATCTGACGTGTACCCATGGGAAGACACTAATTAATGATATAAACTAAAATTGTATGTTTCAGGCCTCCCTCCCAAGTAACACCCTTAATAATAATGCTGGAAAATAAGACAGTGAACTACATTTTACCACAGAACTATGTGGCAAAATCATTGTCCTGGTGTCTAGCATCAGACTTGATTTACACTGCTCAATTTTTTAAGGGTCATTCTAGTTAGACCTCCAAAAATTAGCCACTTTTAATAGAGTGAGAATAAAAGACTGATTTCTTGATGAGATTGGCTCAAGAGAGGAAACCACACCCATGATGCACACAGACTGAGTTTCCAACAAACTTATCACCCTGAGTCATTTTCAAAATTACGTTTGTTAAGGACATCATTAGCATTTTAGTCTGAAAAAGAATTCTGAAGACTTTTGAATGATACCTTCCCATTTTGCAGATGAGGAAACTTAAACCTGGGAAGTTAAGTTCATTTAGAGTCATGTACTCTATATATAGAATCTGGCTTCTAGTCTAGTTCTGGGATTATCAGGATGACCTGGGGATAGTCATTTAATCTCCAAGCCTCACTTTAGTTAACTATAAAATGGGTATATTAATTCCCAAGTAACAGAATTATGTGCTAAGTCAGTAAGTGATAAGGGAAATGTGCTTTGCAAACACCTAGCAGAGGGAAGAGGTGGTTGTCATGAGATAAAACTGGAAATAAAGTCCCTTGGCTTCCCAAGTCAGGGCTTCTCTCTTCTGTCCCCTTGACCTGCTTTTTCCAGTCATTCACAGAATCTTTTCTCAGTCTCTGGAATAGTTGAATATACACTGGATCACAGAGAACTGAGAGCTCTCACCAAACTTGGCTCATACAGGAAAACAAACAAACTAAAAGAGAAAATAAATTTAAGACAAAAAAGAGTCACTGAATGAGGATTTGGGGGTTGGGACTTCCTTTGCTTTTTTCTTTTCAGCAGTACTGGGAATTGAACCCCTGCCCTTTGCATTGAGCTCAGTCCTCAGTCCTATTTAAAATTTTTGTTTTTGTTTTGAGATAGGGTCTTGCTAAGTCACTAAATTGCCCAGGCAATCTTGAATTTGAGAACTTCCTGCCTCAGCCTCTTAGAGTGCTGGGATTACAGGAGTGCACCACCACACCCAGCTTTGTTTTGATGATTTTTTGTTGTTGTTTTGTTTGGTTTGGTTTTTTTTAGTACTGGGGATTGAACCCAAGGACTTTCATGGGCAGTCTTCCTGACTCAACCTCCTGAGCAGCTAGCTGGGATTACAGGTGTGTGCCACCACACCAGGCCAAGGCTGGTTTGATTATCTTAATCCTTGCTTAACCCCTTCACATGTAAATGAAAGTAAACAGACCAGGGAAGTGGAGCACTTGGCCAAGGCTACAAAACTATTAAGTGGCAAAGTCTAAACTGTGGAAAACCCGTGGTCTCTGAACTCATTGCCAGTGCTGTTCCATGAGTCCCCCGACCTGATGTGGTTTGGCTCTGAGCAAGCTCCTGCTTTCCAGGCATGACTTCTCAATAGGCTGCAAAAAAACAAGTATGTAGACGTACTGTAGGCACAGACTGGAAGATCTTAAGCTATTTGCTATAAGTGCAGCCCTTCATCTGTGCCTATCCAAAATAAGTGTGGTGGGGGCTGGTGCAGGGGATGCACAAGGGGTCATTTATAAGGAAGATTCAGGAACTCTGTGAGCCAAGCCTCTCTTGTAAGATCCAGAAATGAAATCTTTCTCCAAGAGAAGGTCACGGGTACAGTCACTGTCCTTGCATGAACTGGAACAAGTCTGGAGCTTGCACTGCACAGGGCCAGGGGCAGTGACTTCTTACAAGACAAGGAGCTAAGTGTAGGGCACCTACATTTTGTAGAAAAGATCAGGCAGTTCTCTGTGGTGACTTAAGTTTCCTTATACATGAAAACATTCGCTTCCATGTGCTTAAGACCCCATCTGATTCCCTCTCGTGAGGGCCAAGGAACTGTACACTTCCCTTCAAGAGTCTAAGCAGCTGCTGGAAGCTCAGTGTGTCCGCATATCTACCCCAGCAGCCCTGCGGGTGTATGAATACATAGAACTCTTTGCACCACAGCCAGATGGACTGAGTATGAGCCAGCTCCTGTGTGTAAATGATTCTCTCCTCTGCACACACCCATGTGTCTCCCACGGCACTGGTGTTGCTGTTAGCAGCAGCATGGACACGCATGAGCTTTGGAATCTAATGGGCCTGTTACATTCAATGTTCTCCTGATAAATAACTCACTGGCTGGTGACTGTAGACAAGTTACTTCTTTTCTTACAAAAATAAAACTGGGTTATGCAATGCCATCTTCTCTGTACTCCTGAAGAATGATAGGAAATAAGCCAGCTCAGGGCCTACCCCTTAGTAGGTGTTAGATCAATATTAACTTTCTTTTCTTCAGGGTTAGTCTACTAGCGAGGGCTTTTCTAACAAAGGGATTGATCCATCCAGGAGTGATGCCCATTTTTCTTTGCCAAGTAGATCAGCGCTGCTGTGCTCCAGGTGAGGAGCTGAGGCATCAAGACAGAAAGCTTGCCTGAGGAATCAGAAGCAACAGGCAGATTTGGAGCTATCAGAGGTATGTTCTTGCTCCTTGGGATACTCAGGCATGCGCTCCTGTGTTCTGGCTCTGCCCCCTTCATCTGGCCACAATACCATGTGGTGTTACAACTTTTTGAATGTTAAGAAACATTATATTTCCTCAAGTATCAGTACTTAATGTTTCGCTCCACACATAAAACCCTGTGAGTGGAAGGCTGGTGGCCCCCTTGTCAGAGGTAATTTCTCAAGGCTCTGCATGGGATTTAACGGGAGCCATATGGTTAAGCTTGTCAACCCTCCCAGAAAGCATCCCCCCGAAGGGCCCTCGTAAATGTTCTTGGGGCTGTGAAAGATCCAGCAACTTTCTAACAATAAAGCTATGTTCATAGCCGTGATATTAAATGAAACAAAAAGCAGGAAATAATGGCTTCTGGTCTGAATTACTCAAAAGGGAGCTTCAAGTTGTCCTGGTGAAGGGCTGAGGAACAGTGACAATCAGAGACCTGCTCCTCACTCCCAGCAGGAGGAAAGAGGCTGGCCTGGATGCCCCCAACCTGTGGTGGACAGTAACAGTCTTAGTCATGCTCAGCTTGGTTTGAGGCATTTGCAAAAACTCCTAAGAATGGATTCATACACAGCTGTCTTTACAGAGCTGCTTTGTTATTTCAATCTTTCAACTATGCCTTTCCGTGAATGCGTCATTTACCAATCTCTCTTCTTATTTATTTTCAGAGCAACAACTGGCACAAACCCCTCAATCTATTAACTATCCCATCTTGATGCACTTTGGCTGACAAAAGAAACCTCACACCACAAAGCCTCACGATCCACTTGGTCAAAAAAGTAGTTCTGCTTTTGATACCAACAAGTCCTGAGAAATAGCAAGCTTCTCTTTTAGCTATGATAGTGTTGGTTAGTTGGTTTGCTTGTTTTGCGTGGCCACATTCATAGTGCTACATCTGATACTGTGCACGTCGGAGACTTGCAAAGAGCACAGACAGGTAAGAGAGGTATTATTTGTGATAAGTATTGTTACCTTTTTATCTTTACATAAAGCAAGGTTTGCCTCAGTTATTAGATCTGAACTGCTTAGCTTACAGCACCTTACAAATAAATATGGTTTACAACCATATGTCCAGTATCTATGCATCACATGGACATTCATATGTTAGGATTAGAACTGGTGCAAAAGCAGTGAGCAATTTAATACATTTATGCATACGTATATGCATTCTGCAGAATGTATATCCAAGTTTCCTGATATAGCTGGTTAATTTTATCTTACTCAGAATATTCCAAATTTGTGTATTCTTATGTTAGATGCATAATGTCTTATTGTAAGCAATTACTGTTAAATAATTCTCACCAGTGATCTA